TTTGCAGGACACTGAGTATGGGACTGCGGTCTGTACTGGGCATTTCCTTAACACGCGCAGCTGGGTTTGCAAAAGATAACAGTGGGAACGGTAATGCTTTCTCTTGCTACAATGATTTTTCATTCTGATTCTTCCATTGGTCTGTCGGAGGTCACGTTTGGTAACTTTACATAAGACGTACTTATGTAACCACCAAGTTTTATACTGCAGCATTCAACTTTGGACCAAAGGAGGGGTAAAAAAGAGACAGAAGCAGGGAGACAGGACTGAATAAATACCTGTCCTCTCTGCACAAGTGCAGAGTGCAAGGGAAGGTAATTCATCTAGAGGGGATCAGAAATATCCAGATACAGCACATGGCTCACGAGTATTTTTTTATGGCAGGCCATACGTTGTTACCTCCAAAACTTAATCAAGAGCATGGGGTTGAAAGGGAATGTTATAAAAAGAGGCCAGTAGACTCGCACCTGTCCATATTATGTCAGTGGTGGGTCCTACTGAAGATCAAGTGCTTGACAGTAGGCTGTGGTGATGAACCTGGTGCTCTCTTTTAGGCAGACTTCCTGGTCAGAGGACTTTGGTGCGTGGGGAGATTGGCTGATAGACACAGGACCCAGAGGTGTCTATTATGAGGGCTATTCTGTTTTCACCAGCACCTAAGAACCACTAGGCTATTAATTAACCAAAGAGCTGGAGTGGTGCTAGCAATAGCAGTAAATAGAAGTATTTGTTTACTGATAAATTGGTGATTTGTGTAAGGAAAAATACTGAGAGGCCACTATTCTTCTCAGGATCTGATGTGTTCTGATGACCATGCATTATATATCATGGTCACATTATACAGGTTAAGAAATCGTTTTTGGAAAGCCAGGTGGGAAAGTGTTTAAATGGGTGAGCCAAAACATAGGACTATACATGCTGTGTTTAAACCCTGCATATCATTTTAAATATGTAATAAAAACAGTACAGAAATGCTGTATAAAGAACAGAAGTAAATTTATATTCAACAGACTTTAAGCGTTTTTCAACGTGTTCTAAATACGATTTACTATGCTCTCTGTAACATGCTCGGAATATTTGTTTTCCTAAGAAACTGCGTATTGCCCTCTTTGAAAGGTGAATGGAAGCTATTAACACCTGCTTGTCATAGTTTTACATATAAAAGCCCTGATGTTTAACTCTGTAATGCTTTCTGTATTCTGAACTTTCTGAACTCCGCCTATGCTCTAGCAACGTGTTTAGGTAAGGTGCAAAAGAAGGGAAGCCCAGTAAAGATGTATCTAATATTATCTCAGTGTCCCCTTTCCACTTACCTCAGCAGTGATGAAGCACTGGACTTGAGGATTATACACAGTTCAGACTGTGGTTTCTCTGTCTGAGTTAATCGGTACTAGTCATTCAAATAGAGTAGAACGATAGTATGTGCTCTGATTTTGTGTACACCATATTAATACTATTTCCCAGAGCCATGAGCACTTGGAGGCTTTGAGGTTTGGGTCCCTACAAAACCATTTTATTAGCAATGTGTCTCATACTGATAGCACAGCTGAAATAAGGTGACTGACATGCAGAGGTTTGAAGGTGAATGGATAGATAAGCTTCTTGTGCATATGCAGATCCCATCTCTGTAGTACACTGTGAAACACTTTAGTGAAAAAATGGATTATGACACTGATTAGCCATGTGGATTTGCTGCTTATATCTACTGCTACTGTACACTTTGTTCCTAGCACAGTGGGCAGGGACACCCCGTGCATCCTTATACTGACAAACAGGCTCTCTTTATTTCTATGATTTATGGATTAGAAGGTTAACAAATAGTGGACGTACTTTTTTTTATAGGTAGCCATACAGTGATAGCATCTACTCCAGTCTTTCTCTTGATACTACAGGGCTAGTTGTTTTGATATCTGCTGTTGTGATAAAAACTATGACAGAGGTTAAGATTAAACTACAGTGTATTTTGGACAGTTCACATAGACCAGTAGAGAGGTCAGTTATCCTACTTAGTAAGCTTGATCCAGAGAATTTATGGGAAACTGAAATCCCTGACAAAAACAAAAGCACAAATACTGTTCAGAGTGTATTGCACCCAGCACTGAAGTTAGGCTTAGGAACTGGTATCAAAACAAGTGCTGGAGAATTGCTGTTAACCACACTCAGGATCAATGGGATTAGTTGGGATGGTTGACAGAGAAACATTTCCTAGGCAGAACTCTTGTTTGAAGTGAGATCTATCAAAAAGGAACACACTGAAAAAAAGAGCGAACTTCTTCAAGAGGCAAAAGAAGTAGAGACCAAGTCATAAAGTGGAAAGAACATCCACTCCTTATGAAAACAATTTTGAGAGACCTGGAAAGAGAAGTGTTTCCAACGTGAACATAAGCTGCTTCATTTGCAGGTTGTTTTGCCAAGACCTGCTCCAACCTGTTTAGAAGAACATTTGATAACTTAGAAACTAAGGGAACTGGTCAATGAGTGATATCAGGATCAAAAGAAGGATGAATGTATTTCAACTGTAAACAGGAGAGATTTTTAAAATCTCCTAACCCTAATTTAGAGCACCACCCAATGATCAGCATTCACCGTGGAGTAAACTCGCATTTAAACAGAAGAATAAGAGCTTTTTCCGAAGCAAGCCAAAGCTTCCTGTTGCAGGATTTTGTGCAAAGAAGAAAGCCAGCAAAGCAATCACACAGATGCATGGTGTACAAATTAGGTCTCAGGAGAATAATTCTGGAGAAGAATCACCAGTCCAAACAACAGGATTTGTAGAGGCGCTGCCTTGCAACAAAGACAGTATGCCACAGGAGTTTCAAACTCCAGCTCTATGTACCGGAAGATGTGGTGCCAAACATCCTAGTCCTATTGACTGGAAAGTTTTACAGTGATGAGAATAGTTTATAGCAAGTGTGATTAACTTGCTGGATTCCAGCCATAAACCAAGTCAGAAGGAGACAAAATGAGATATCCAGCTATACTTGTAAGAATGGCCAAACCTTTTCCTGGCAGATGGAAAGTACAGGAAAGTTCAGAGTAGAGAAGCAGACTTAGGACAGGGAAGTGACTGCTTACCTTTACTAAGGCCAAGCATGGCATGTAAGAAATTTATGAAGAGATATGCCATATAAGAAAAGAAAGATTCTTGGAATAAGAGAGAGTCCTAGAACTGGATATTCATTTTATTTGCCTCAAATGACCTGTGTAGCAGAATGGGAAATATTAAAACTGGGAGTGTTCTCTCAGAAGGAGGCCTAAAACAGAGCTGCTACCATTGCTTGTAAACATAAAAATTAACCAAGAAATGGAGAATATATAACATTAGATATTTAAATATGCAGCCAGGAAATGAATGAATCTTTATATGACTTGATTTTGCAGTTTGAACTCAGTTCTCCACAAGAGATTTGATTCAAATCAGGACACTCAACTTCATGGAGATGTGTGTAAGGAGCTGTGGACAAGGAAAATTTCATACAATGAACTCTCTACTAGCCTCAAAGTGAATGTGTCTATTTTTCTCAGAGTACTCGTGCACAGTCCTCACAGAAGAGGTTGAACCAGGAACCAAGCCATCTCATTTGGGGACTGTACCTTTGACTTTTCTACTATAATAGAGACTAAAGGTCCCTATACGACTATTTCTCATTGTGCATATTTTTCTTTAAACTTGAGTTTGACAGACAGACATGGGCAAGGGAGGAGTGGGAGACATACCTTTTGTTTAGAATAATTAGCTTTCTGCATATAGATGCAGGGCAGCCAACTCAATGTCAAATAATAAAATATGAGTGTTGATGGATATACTCCATGCCTCTCTTTGATACTGTATAGATAGGTTTCATTGTGGGCAATGTATTTGGCAGGTGATTCTCCAGTCAGCCTCTGAGAGCAGAGCCAATCAGAGCATGGAGGGGAAGGGTTATAAGCCTAGGAGTTAGAGATGTATCTGTGGACTTGTTAGCTGTTCGATGAAGAACTGAGAGCCCTTTTTGTTCTGAGGGTTGGGTCCCAGTGCCTATACCCCTTACCTACTAGCTACCCATTTGTGTTATTTTCATTGGCAACTGAGACCAATCAACTATTAACCCAAGGGCTGTAATAGTGCTAGCAGTAGAGACCCCAGACTGCCTGTTTGCTGACAGGGTTGTGAAGTGTCTGTAAGGAACTGAAAGACTGCCATTCTTCTTAAGCTCTGACAGGTCCAGATGACACACTGTACATGTTGTGGTCATGAGACAGAGACTGAGAAATCATCTCTCAAAGACTATCAGAGAAGAATGTCTTTACTACGTGGGCTAAAGTATTGAAATATAAAAGTTTTATGTTAAAAACTCGCACTTAAATTTAAGTATGTAAAAGCAAGAAAGGCTGGAAGAGCAGTAGATTTACTGTCAAATAACATGTGTTTAAAAGTTATTCATAGTATTCCAAATACTATATTATATATTTTATACTGTCCACAATATTTTCAGTGAAACAACAGATCATTAAACTTTTATTAAGAAATTGCATGTTTCTCTAAGTTGGGGGGGGGGACTATAAGCACTCACTTATCAGGATTTTCCAAGTGGTAGCCCTGAGGTTTAACTCTGTATAGTGCTCTCTGAAAAGTCCTAAAGAGAATGGAATCTATCCTGTACTTCAGCAAAGAGGTAAGAGAAAGCTACAGTAAGAAGTGGAGTGTAGCTGAGTTGCATTGTTTGTTTAAGCAACCCCTTTCTTGCAAAAGCCATCAGTCTTTCTCTGCCATTTGGGAAGGAGTTATGCTGAAGGGCTTCATGACCCTCCATATTAGCTATGCTTGGCCACTGTACAGGTGAGAGGAGAAGTTTATTTTATGATATGATGTATTTAGTTTTAATATCTTGAACATTTTAGATTGTTAAAATCATGAATGAGCAAATTTTAGGCTTTATAGTATGTGAGATGTGTGCCCTATCCTTTCCACCAAATCTTGACTTGTGACTAGATTCTGGTTGACCTTTACATAGATGTATGGCTGTGCATGTGAAGAGAGCACCTGGGCTCCCCCATATGATTTTCAGTGCCTATACTTGAAGAAACGTAAGGTCGTCTCCAGCCTTACCCTTGAAGGGACTGCACACAGCTTCAGAGAAGCCGAAGTGGGGGATGAGGCCTCACTCTTCTGCCAGGTACAGACCTTGCACATAAACCAGTCTAAGTGACTGGAAATTGATTTAAACCAGATCGCAAAACCTGATATAAGATAGGCCTGGTTTGATGTGCACTCAAATCGAATCAGTTTAGGTTAGACCGGTGAATTGAACTTCTGTACCAAATCCCCTATCCATTCAAGTTAGACGACTGTCCCATTCAGCTGCTCTGGCCAAGTGCCCAGTGGGCCATGCCCCCAACCTCTCCCAGCGTCGTGCCAGCACAGACCCTCTCCCCAGACCCACTTTATGCTTCCAGCCATCTCAGCCACTGGCAGGCAGTAGTGGGGGGGAAGGGAGGCTGTGCCCCCACACCCTGTCATGAAGCACCCCATGATGTACACACATACCCGACAATGAGACCAGGAGACCTCCCTGTATTTGGGCATAGCACTATGAGCCTGACCTGACTCCTGCACACCCAGCCAGGGACCCTTATGCCCCCATGCCTTGGCACAGCCCCACAAAGCCCTACTCCAGCTCCCACACACCACATCTCAGAGGCCAGAGACAGGTGCCCTGGCACCTGGACCCCAGCATGGACTCTCCCCACTCCCTCCCACCAAGCAGGAGCCAGTGTGAGCAACTTGCCTCACCTCTGGTGGGTCAGGGTGGGGGTAGCATGGGGCAGAACATTAGGACTGGGTCTGCATGGAGACTATCTTGTGACCTCTGTGCCTTGGCCACTGCCAGCAGATACCTGGACAATGGGCATCTGGGGTGCTGCATATCTTTTTTGGCCCACAGCTACAGGGTCCTGGAGTACTAGGGCAGAGTGGAGTGTGTGTGTGTGGGAGGAGTGTGCTTGCCCATGCCCAGCAGCTAATCAGGAGTGGCCTGGGTGTTCAGCTGCACTTGGCAGTCTCTAGTAGCCCAAGGAGGCCACAGGGCATCCTGGGAGGTGTGAAGGAGCATGCCCAACTTGCAGGACTCAGCCAGTGCAGGCAGCCTGCATGCCCCCCTTTCCTTCCCCCCACCAAAGGGCAAATGAGCATACTGTTTTCTACTGATCTAACCTAGGCCACTTATAGAAAGCTGCGTAACTTAGATTGATTTCCCCCTCGTGCTTTTTGAACATCTGTACTTAGCCTTCCTTTCAAGGTGGATGTTGGCCCTAGCTTTCCATTTGGAAATGAGTGAAACACTATAGGAAATATAAACTAAAAACCTATGAAGAAAGGGCTGCAAGAGAACACGCTCAGCAGCTGCATGCCCAGGAGGTGTTCTGTCTTGCTATATTATGCCTTAAAGGCATAATTGAGCTTCTAAACATTAAGTGATGGACAATATTTTTAGGACTCCTTTTTATTAAAAAAAAACAACCCAGCTAAATTCTGTTCAATAAATTCTCCAGAATCAATCCTGTGATGTTTTTATTACTGTCAGAACTCACAGCTATGGTTTCCTTGTCTGTGTTTCACAGGGCTGCAGGGGTTTTCGTTTGGTTTTTTTCACACTGCTCATGCGATGACATTTCAGTTTTGTACAGAGAAGTGTTACATCTGAAACTTGTTTTTTCCATTGCTTGTGAAGCTCTTTCAGATAAACTCTGAGGGCCAGGTCTTTAGATGGTGAAAATTGGGTTAGCTACATGGACGTCAATGAGAGTAATTAGATTAACACTGATTGAGGGTCTGTCCCTAAGGATGTAAGTATTTGCATGACACCAAGGTAGTGTTGCTGGATTGCATGAGGTATTGCAGTGGGAAGGTGCCTAACTCTGAACAAGTTACAAGATTTACATCCTATGTTGTTCATGATGAGGGGGTGGTTAAAGATATATTCACTGACTACTTTTTAATATCACTGATAACGAACAAAAATAATTTATGGCGTCCCCTCTGCATAGCTGCACACTGAATCCTGTTGCTGACATACCCCTGGTTCTGTGGTGGACACTACATTTCAAAGGATATCAGCTTGTCTCTCTAAAACATGACTTGCCAGTCTTACTGTTTCAAAGTACTCTAGATGTCAGCAAAGTCTGAGCCTCTCAAGTCTCCTGTCTGCTGCCCTCTGTCTAGCTAGTGATCGTGCACTTTTGCTAAAATAGCTGGAGTCACTTCAAGGATTGTCACTGACTTACAGATTTGTTTATGAGGCTTTTTTATTAGAATCCACTAGAGTCTTGAGGGATGTAAAATCAAAAGTTTCTGTGTGGTTCTTGATTGTTGCCATTTGCTTGTTTTGTTGTGTACTCACAGTTTGCGTGGTCAACCCAGTTGTTATGGTTAATCTTGCTATGGCCTTCAAATCAGAGGTCTTACACCTGGGATTGGCAGGTAGCATGACCTAAAGCCAGTACTGTAGCAAGGAAGTTTGGCACCCGGGGCAAGCTTGCAACGGCAGCCTGCCTTCACCCTCCACACAGATCTGGGTGCACCCCCCCCCCCCCCACCGGTCGGGCCCCCCCCCCCCCCCCCCAATGCTTACCCGGGGGTTCATGAAGCCATGGGAGTCGCCCCTCTGCCACCTGCACCCCCTCAAATGAGCCATTCGCGGCTCCATCCTGTGTCCTGCCATGGCTGCGAAGTGCCTGTTGGCACCCCTTTGCTTCAGCACCCAGGGCAGTCACTGTGGTTGCCCCTCTCTTGCTACGGTACTGCTTAAAGCAGTCAAGCTGAACATAGATTGTCATATTGGAACAGCATAAACTCTACTACTGTTTATTTTCCTCTGTCATGGGGGGCATTTTTAGAGACTTTATGAGAAGTTCAGGATTCACCCCATTGTGGAATACTTTTTCACTGGGGCATAGTTTTATTCTCAACTTTACCTGCTGTTGGTTACTGACCTGAAGCACAATGTTTGTGTCCTAGGTACTAGATTTTCAGATAATATTTTATTGCAATCATCTTCTGCTGCTCTTTCTGCTGCATAGAAATCTTATTAATATATTTCCCTCAATCGTATCTAGCTACAGTGAGTTTCAGAGGCTAATTATATGTTGCATACAAAAGTACATGTGTAATAGGGACCTTGTGATGGAGGGTTGCCAACCTTTTTAAGCCAGCACGGAAAAGCAACTAAAGGTATAAAGCAAAACAACTCATTTAGACTGCTTTCCTCATGGGGGCTGTTGGTCTCCAATGGTTCCTTTTGTCAGAGTGGCCTTACTATAAAACAACCAGCAATCGAGTCCCTTCTTAGTAAAGTAGACACACAGTCCTTTTCTGTCAGGAGAAGAGAGACAAACCAGGGAGATCCCTGGTCCCTTCCCTTTCTCTGTTTGGGCAGAGTAAGAAGATAAGATCATCTGACCATATCTGCAGGCCAGCTTCCCAGTGGAAGCCTTCAGTTTGTCATCTCTGTTAGTAAGGCCCAGCTGTTGGCATGATTTTTTAATGACAAAAAAAGCCACAGTGATTAGCACCTTTTCCCAGGTCTGACACATAAGGGCAGGCCCTGCAGGTGTGCTTTCCCTCAAGAAATGGGTCTAGCTCCCTTCATATGTGGGTCAGCTCAGAAATGGAAACCTACTTTATGTGTTAACTTCCTTTCATTGGTTTGAAATTGCTTGCTTTGTCAATTAGCCAGTTGCTTTCCCATTCTTTTATTTGTGTTCATCTGAACAGCATGGTCTTCTGTGGAGTGTTACTTATGTCATCATACGTGGCAGGCTGGTCGGTGGGCTCACTGGCAGTCTGGATTGTTAGCTTGAGTCCAAAATGGCTCAGGCCGATTGGTAGAGCATTTCCACCAATCAGGAAGAGGCAGGAGGCAAGCTTGCCCCACCCTGACCTAGGGGCAGGGTGAAGAAGAGGACCTGACAGGGAACTAACCCCTCACGCTTTCCTATTGGTTCATTTTCAATCTGGGGGTGGAGCATCCAGGAGAGATAAAACCTCCATGGCCAGCACATGGGGAGCTGTCGGCAAGGGATGACAAAGACGGGGCTTGTGAAGAGCTAGTAGAGTTGACCAGCAGGGCAGAGCAGTTGCCCCAGAAGTGCCCAAAAAAGACTCTGCCACCTAGCAGGGAGCAGCAAGCAGCTGCATCCCCAGCGCTGCCACAGAGCGAGCCATGGCATCAGTGCACAGATTGCTGCACGGAGGGCCTGGAAGTGGACAGGACCTCATGGCTGCACGAGGCAGAGCGGGCCTCCAACCCTGCATGAGGCAGGAGTGATGGTACACAGATTGGTGCATGGAGGGTCTGAGAGCAGACAGGACCCTGGTGGCTGCACAAAGCAATGAGGGTCCCCAACCCTGCATGAGGCAGGAGCCCAGCCTCCTTGGTGCACAGAGCAGTGCACAGAGTTGGTGGAGAGCTGGAAGGGACTGCAGCAGCTTCACGAGGCAGTGCAGATCCCCATCCCAACATGAGGCAGGAGCTAGGCCATCGGTGCACACATTGGTGCTGAGGGCCATAGAGCTGACAGGTCGCCACAGCTGCACGAGGCAGCGCAGGTCCCGGTGCACAGGATGGTGGATAGCGGGTTGAGAGAGGGCTGACAGGCCCCGGTGGCTGCACCAGGCAGCTCGGGCCTTCCTGCCATGAGCGGCAACTGGATGGGTCGACTACCCCTGTGAGGGAGGACGCTGGGAGTCATGAGTTACCTGGAAAGGGGATTCCCACAGGGAAGGTGGGGCCTTGCTCACTGCAGGGGATCAAGGGGAAGCCCCTGAGGAGTGGGGATGATTCACCCTTGAGCACAGTGCGGGGTCTAGGGTTCCCCTGTTTGTTAAAGTGTAGTGTCATAGTTATGGACCCCTCCTAGTTGAGCCACCTGGGAGAGGCTAATGATGTTTTATTAGGTTACAGGATCTTTCCCTGGGTTGCCATTTCTTCTTTGGGCACAGCTGCTGTGCCATTGTTGTGGTCTGGTTCCTTATGCTGTTGGGATTCCTGTTGTAACGTTCATTCTTCTTGTTGTACTATAAAGGACTGTAAGCTGTTTTATGTCTGAACTCACTGTATGGGTTATCTGTATATATGTGGATTTCATTTGATGTAACCTGATTGTGTATGTACAATTC